GCCGGCCCCTGGGGCAGCAGAGGCCACGGGCAGAGCAGGTCCCCTTATGTCAGCTGGGGCTGGCAGAGGGACCGAGGCGGGCGAGACTTGGAGGGATCTTGGGGGCTGGGATGCTTGGCTGTCCACCAGCCTCCCATGGCCATGTCCCTGAGCCTCCCGGCACAACCTTGTGCCCCCTCTTGACCCGTACGACCTTGTGTCCCCGGTCGCCCACCCAGTGGTTCCCTGAGGTGCGGCACCACTGTCCCAGCACGCCCATCATCCTGGTGGGCACCAAGCTGGACCTGCGGGATGACAAGGACACCATCGAGAAGCTGAAGGAGAAGAAGCTGGCGCCCATCACCTACCCGCAGGGCCTGGCACTGGCCAAGGAGATCGGTAGGGGCCTCGGGCTCGGAGGGGGACCTGGATGCTGGGACCCCAACTCAGCCTCGGGCTACAGGGCCAGGCTATGCGGTTCAGATGCTGGCTGGGCTGTGCACTTGCTGTTGACCTTGGGCAAGTCTCTTAGCCTCTCTGAGCCTATGTTTCTTCAGCAACAAAGCATGGCAACAGTGATAGCTCCTGCCTCGGAAGGTGGCTGGCAGAACTGAGTTAATGCCATGAAGGTACAAGAGCAGCCTCTGCCCGCAGGAAGGACTCTGGGTTAGCTAGTAGTAGTCATAGGGGCAGTAGGAGTGTCCACTAATAGATTTTGAAAATAGGGGGTGCATTTTGATCAGACAGAAGCAGGGAGGGAGTGAAGGGTGCTGTGGTTGCTTGGAGGACAAGTGGCAAGTCAAATTTGGGTTTTCTGGGAAGACTTCCTGGAAGAGGTGCCCCTGCCTTAGATTTGAAAGGTGGTGCATTCTCTTCTGCCTCCTTCGCACCTCCCTGTTCCTGCCCCCCTGGCCTCTCTTTGCCTCCAGATCACTGGGCCAGAGAAATAAAAGTGACTTCTCAAGGTCACACAGCCAACTGCTGGCTCGATGGGGGACCTCTTTGTAGCAGCTTGGGCCTGCCGCCCCAGGGAGGTGATGGCCATGGTTCTGGCCTCTCCCACAGTGTCCGGGCCTGCTGGTTCTGTCTTTGTCCCTGGTCAGGCCCCAGTGTGCCTTTAGCCCAGGCATGGGGCACTTGCCCAAGAGCCCGGGACCACCAGCTGAGTCTGGCCGTCATGAGCCATGCCCTCTGCCCCCACACAGGGTCCCGCAGGCCCAGGGTCCGGCTCTGCATGGAACCTGTCGGGCCTCCCCACCCCACCCCCTCCTCGCCCCAGCCCTCTTCCCCCGCCGGAACTGGGAGGGCCCTGGGGACTCACATCTCTTCACAGGAAGAGAAACCGCAACCACCACCTCCCTTCTTCCCGTGACTAACCCGGTGACACGGCCATCTTCCCCAGGGCCCTTGGTGCTGCTGCTTGGACCCCGGCTCCCTGGGCCTACTGGCCCTTCCTCACAGATGTCGGGGTTGCACCCCTGCCTTCTCTTCTTTCTGACCTGCCTGTCCCCTGGACCCCTGCCGTCCGAGGTGCGACTCTGCGGCCTGGTCCTGGTTCTTGCCACACTGCGCTTTGAAGCATGTGCTTTGGGATGATGTGAGGGTCCTGCGAGTTTGGGTTCTGGTCCTGGCTCTGGCACTGATGGGCTGTGGGCCCTTGGGTTGGGGGCTCCCCCCCTGGGCCGCAGTCTTTCCATCTGCATCTGCGGGGCGGGGCAGTCCCCAGAGGCCCTTTCTGGGCCCCTGGCTGGGCCTGGGCGGAGCTGGGGCAGGGGTAGAGATCCCGACCGCACCTCAGGCCAGCTCAGATTTCGGAAGAGGCCTGGGAGACCTGCAGGGCTAGTGAGGAAGATGGCAGCTGCCTCTGCCCACCGGGGCTCTCCCCACCCTCCACAGGATCACACCTTGCGGGGCCAGCCCTGACCCTACTTCCTGTGTGCAGCCCTGACCCCACTTCCTGGCTGCCAGGCCCAAACATCCCCACTTCATTCTCACAGCAGCCAAGGGTCACCTCCACTTTACAGAGAAGGAAACTGAGGCTCGGGGAGAAGTCGCTGACTTAAGGTCAGCCAGTCCGGATATGGCAGAGTCCAGATTCGAACCCAGGGAGCCTGGCTCTCTGGGCCGTGAAATCAGGGCATCTGCCCCATCCCCTCCCCCACCCAGCCCCTCCGGCATCTCCTGCCTGCCTTCCTCTCCCCACTCTCTCTGTGGCTCCCCTGCCCTGAGGAGCCATCACAGGCCAACGAGCCCTAGACGGATGGGTGGTAGAGGCCCAGAGAGCTGGGGCTGGCCAAAGTCCTAGAGAGGCCAGAGGCAGAGGCAGAGCCAGCCCCCCACCCCCTCCACCTGGCTCAGGCCTTGTCCTGGGCACTGCTGAGCCACGAGAGGCAAGGGGGTGGCTGGGGGCCAGGGGGCGGCACTTAGTGGGTGTGGAGACACGGACCTGGGCTGTGGGCCCTTGAAGGGAGACCATGGCTGAGGGCCCCATGACATCTCAGCACAGGGGCCTGTAGTGACAAGACCCCCGGCCAGGGATGCTGTTTTTGCCAGTCAAGCGCTGCGACCATTGTCCGTGATCCCTGGTGGGCTCAGACTCCCCAGAGGACTAGAGTCTGTGACATCCTCTCTAGCCTGAGTTTCCTCATCTCTGCCCCTTCTTTCTCCCCAGCCCCAAGGGCTCCCCATCTTGCAATCCCCACACCCCTCTTCCCAGCGGTGAGCCTTTGGGCCCTGGCCTGTTTCCTGCCTAAGTGGGAAATCCCAGTGTTTCCTCACGGTGTGACTGAAAGTGCCCAGGGCAGGGCCTGGCATGGAGCAGGTGCTGACTGCGTCCACCCACTTCCTTCCACCCTCAGAGGAGAAGTTGGCCTCGGTAGAGGGGAGGGTGCAGGGTTCCCCCTTCCCTCCCTCTCCTTCCTCTTGCTTCTGAGAATGACCCCTGGCTGGCAGACTTCTCAGCAGAAGGGGTTTTGCAGTCCCTCCTGTCAGGGAAACTGTTTGGCTTGTAGTGGACATGGGAAGCCACGTGATTCTTGCAAAAGGTCATGGAGCCCTGGGAGGAGGGCTCAGCCTGCCTCTCTTGCTACCTCTACCCGGGTTGCCTCTCTTGCTACCTCTACCCGGGCTGCAGCCCTGACTGGTCACGTGGGAGGAGGCTGGTCCTCTCGTGGGAGGAAGAGGGAGCTCTCCAATCCCTTCCCCTAATGGCGGCCCCCAGCTACCCTCAGGTAGGGGGAAACGTCCAGCGTGTGACCTTGGACAAGTCACATAGCTTCCACGGCCTTGGTTTTCTTGTCTGTAAAATGGGGATGATGCTAAGGAATGATCAGATGAGACTCAAGAGGTCCTGGGGAGGGTGGGTGGGGGCCTCGGGCCTTCTGAGGATGTTTGCACCCCTGGAGAAGGCTACTTCCTAGAAGATGAGATACCCAGAGATTTGGTCTCTGAAGCTTGAGCCCCTTCCTTACAAGAAAGCATCAAAATTCCTGCCTTCCTTCCACAAAATAAGAACACATCTATCCATGAAAGACACAGGCCTGCCCTGTAGGTCTTAACCTCTCGCATTGAACTCAAACTCCCTATGCTAGACATGAGGAAACTAAGGCACAGTGGGGTGAACTCCTAGTGACCCAGCTCCCAGGTGGCCCCAGTGGGTGTTCAGGGTGCTGCCTGCAGAGTTTGCCCAGAGCCTTCCCTGACTTCCGCCTCTGCTCTCCTGTTCCTGCCTCCCAACCAGACTCGGTGAAATACCTGGAGTGCTCCGCCCTCACCCAGCGGGGTCTGAAGACCGTCTTTGATGAGGCGATCCGGGCTGTCCTGTGCCCTCAGCCCACGCGGCCACAGAAGCGCCCGTGCAGCGTCCTCTAGGGTAAGAGCCCCCCACCCCGCTGCTCCGTGACCCCACCCCCACACAGCAGGTTGAGGCTGGGAGGGGGCGTCCAGCCGCTGAGTGGCGGCCCCCAGTTCACTGAGAGAGGTATTTAGGCCAGACGGAAAGGGGGGTATGGAGCGACCCCCCCATTTCCCCAGCCTTCATGTCATGGCCTGAGCCGGTCCTGCTCTCTGGAGCTTGGAAAGGCCCAGGGTATCAGAGAATGCTGGGTAACCTAGGCCAGAGCCTGGGGTGTCGCTGGGCTCCCACTCTGCCCATTCCTGCAAGGGATGATGGGAAGGACAAGACGGAAAGACGCCTTGACCCAGCCCCCCAGGTACCCATGGGTATAGGTGGAGATGGGACAGACTGAGCTGTGAGACCCTGGGGCAGTGGGTGTGGGCCAGAGGCAGCCTGCCAGGCTTCCTGGAGATGTGGGATCAGGATGGAAGGACTTGGTGCGGTGTGGGGGTAGTCCTAGGGGAGGACGAGCCTTGAGCCTGGGCCCAGAGGTTGGAATGAGCTGTGAGCTATGGGTTCTGCTGTCCCCAGAGTCTCACCCCCGCCTGTCTTCCTTCCAGGCTGCACCCTAGCCCTCCCACCCAGATGTCTCTGACCCTCCAGGGCCCCACCCAAGCCTGGTGGCACCCGGCTGGCCATGCTGTCCCCTTCCTGTGGCAGTTCTTAGCAGGTGACTGCAGAACTTGGTTGACCGTCTTCTCTGTCTTCTCCGCTGGAATCCTCTGGGGTTGGGAGGGTGTGAATTTGCGGGCACTGCATCCCAGTCCCCTCATGCTCCTGCCTTCCCAGGGGCCAGTGGGAGCCCCAGGACTCACCAAGCTACACCTGTGTCACTGAGGTCGGCATGGGTGGCTGCATGTGGCAGTTTCTCCCCATTTACTCCACCCCATCTGCGCCTGCTCCCCTCTGGAACCTTTGGGCCAGCTGGTGACGGCCACCACTTGTACCCCTCTGGGGACGGGGCTCTCACTCCCTCCCGAGGCAGTCTGCTCCAGTGTTGGTGGTCCTCCTTGTCTGAAAGTCCTTCTACTGAGCAAAAGTGGATGTCTCAGAAGTTTGCTCCCTGGTCTCAGTTCTCCGCTTTTGAGACAACATAAAACAAATTCTCTAGATCTCTGGGGGTGTCTGCTCAGCCGGCTGGAAGTCTGGGTTCAGCCGACACCTGCCATCTCTCAAGACTTTCTGCTCTGCTCACAGAATCCTGAACTGCATTCACCTGTGGGAGTCTTAAAACTTTTACACCTTGCCCGTCAGGACTTTTGCTATTGCAAATAGAAAACTCAGTTCAACCTGCTTAAGCAGAAAATAAATTTATTGATTCAAGTTTGGAAATATCATGACTTCAGGTGCAGCCTGATGGGGGGACGGGAGTTACGTGGTGTCACCTCTTGGCTCTGTCTTCTGCCGGCTGGTTCATTCTCAGGCAGGTGACTCTCAGGGCTTCATCCTTTCAGGTCCAAGTTCAGCAAAAAAAGAGTCAGTATCTATCCCCGGCAAAGCTCTAACTAAGGTTTACTCTGATTGGACCAGCTTAGGGCCTGGTTCCCCTTCAACTAATCATATTTGTCAGAGGGGTGCTGTGCTCTGATTGGCTGGGCCTGGACCACATGCACGCTGCTGCAGAGTGGCGGCAACCCCAGCAAAACCATGTGTGCTGGGGTGAGGTGGGTTCCCAAGTGGAGCCGAGATCTGGCTGGAATTTGGGGAACCGTCAGCCTCCACTGTGGGAGGTCATGGAAAAGCGTCCGTCCCAACAGTGAAGGGAGGCAGTGCTGGTTCCTTACAGCAAGCAGGGCCAAGCTGCTTCCCAAGAGAGCTGGGCTGTCGTCAGGACTGAAGCAGCTCCTTCACGAAGCCCAGTAGTGCCCGATAGTCCGTCCCACCTTGGTGTTGGCTGGGTCTGGCAGGCGCCAGACTTCCTGCTTCCGCAGACAACGCCCCTTCTCTGTCTAAACTTCCATTCCTTCACCTCCTCTGTGCCAGGCACTCCGCTGGTGTGGGGTTTCAGCTGTGCCCAGGAGCACTGCCCTCCAGGCCGACATTCTAGAGAGGCTAAGAGCTCGTCCCTGACACCCAGAACACCCCCAATTACCAGCCCATGAAATGCTTGGGGTCTTTATTGTCTGCTCCCAGAGCTTTCAGCCAGCCCCACCGTCCCCAGAAGTTTCCATGTTCTGAGGCGGGATCCCCCAGCTCACTCACTTCCTGGGAGTCCTCCGTCAAAAGGCAGAGACTGGGTACAGAGGGGACCCTCCTTGCTTTTCACAGCTTCAGCTCAGACAAGGTCATTGTGTGTCTAAAGTTACTTCTCTGAAGCAACAAGAAAACATGAAGCACACGCATGGCACAACACAGACAGGTAGGGCCCCGCCCCTGGCAAGTTCAAGGTTTAAAAGCCCCCAGGTGCCCCCTCCAGTTGGCCGAAGTTGGAGGGCGCCTCTTTCTGCTCCCCGATCTTTACAGGGCCTTGGAATGGATTCCAGGCCCCTGCCCGTGGCCTTGGAGCCCTGGCCATCCTCCGCCTCCTGCTCTTTCTACACTCACACCTTTGCCATCAGACTGGACTCTCATGTCCTCAAACCAGCCTTCAGCTTCTTCCACCCCAGCCTTTGCACGTACTGGTCCCCTTTCCTCAAACCCTTTGATCTGTTTCTAAAACTTCTCTGCTGGCCAAGGGTGGGGGGAGGGGGGTCTTCCCATGTGTGTCCAGGCCCCTAGGCCTACCCCTGTAGAGACAGTCCTTGTTTTTTTTACATTTTTATTTTGAGACAGAGTCTTACTCTATCACCCAGGCTGGAGTGCAGTGGTGCAATCTAGGCTCACTGCAGCCTTAACTACAGCCTTAACTTTTTGGGCTCAAGTGATCCTCCCACTTTGGCCTCCCCAGTAGCTGGAACCATCAGTGCACACCACCACGCCAGGCTAATTTTTGGATTTATTGTACAGATAAGGTCTCACCAAATTGCCCAGGCTGGTCCCGAATTCCTAGGCTCAAGCGATCCTCCTACCTTGGCCTCCCAAAGTGCTGGGATGACAGATGTCAGCCCCTGCACCTGGCCAGTCTTTGCTTTTATACCAATAATAATGTCAGCAAGCCAGGCTCGGTGGCTCAGCCTGTAATCCCGCGCCTTTGGGAGGCTGAGGTGAGTGGATTGCCTGAGCCCGTGGGTTCGAGACCCGCCTGGGCAGCGAGACCTCATCTCTACCATAAATCAAAAAATCAGCCGGGTGTGGTAGCGCATGCCTGTAATTCTGGCTACTCGGAAGGCTGAGGCGGAAGGATCGCCGGAGCCCAGCAGGTCGAGGCTGCGGTGGCAGGGAGCGGCCACTGCACTCCAGTCTGGGCGATGGAGTGAGACTCCAACTCAAAAAAAAAAAAAAAAAAGTCAGTAAATAATCTCCGTCCTGCAATCTGTCGAGTCACCATTCACATAGGGCCTCACTTAAGCCTTCTAATAGTCGTCCGAGATGGACATTGGTAGCCATGCTCTGCAGGGGAGGGGACAGAGGTATAGGAGGACACAGGAGTTAGAGCTCAGACCCCTAAGGCAGATGCTGTCCTTTCCCACTCTCCACCACCACTCCCATCCCCCTCGCTGTGTGCAGAGCTGCAAAAGGCCTAGCACCAGTCACAAAACTTGTTTCCCAGTTGGCTTTGTCACTGGGTTCCCAAGGCCACAGCATTCTGGTCAACAAAACATGCGTGAAAGTCAGCCAGAAAGGTGGCTTCTGTGAAAGGTTTTTGTTTTCCTCCATTAAAAAAATGACAGACCCAGCTGATACTGCCCTTTGTCCTGTCCCCTTCCCTGACTTGAATACTGATGGGATGTCTGGAGCTGCAGCAGCCATCTTGTGAACATGAAGCCACAAGCATAAAGATGCAAGCCAACATGCTGAGAGTGGACAAGCAGATAAAATAAGCCGGGTCCCTGATGGCATCGGCTGACAGCTGGACCAGCGCCAACAGCTGTCATGTAGAGGGGACAAAGGAAAACGAACCCACCTGTTTGTGTACGGCACCATTGGTCAGGCCTTCTATTACTGTCTGCCGACAGAATTTGCAACCAAGGCCTTAGGCCTCCTAACCGAGTGCTTTTTCCACCATATGGTGTGGACTTAGGCGAGTCACTTCTTCTGCCTTGCAAATTGGGGACTGGAGGCCCCTCAGATGAAAAGAGAAACCTTGAGGGAAGTCACTGAGAACCTGTTTTGAAACAGGAAGCCTGTTGGTTGTGGGCAGGAGCTGACGACACGCTGGTGCCTGCTCAGGCGACACCGGCCCCTCCCTGGCGCCCACCTTGGGCCAGACCCAGGCTGGATCAGGGCTCGAAGCATCAGGTTCGGCCCTTCTGCAAGGAAACCCCAGCCTGGCGGGTGAGGAGGGCCCCTTCTGGACAAGCCTGCATCCGCTGGCGCACTGTCTTCGAGCTGCTCCTGCGTCCCCCTTTCAGAGCCGAGACCAGGGTCCCTCCACTCTCCCGCCCCAGCATTCACTGGCCACCAAGTGCGGACGGTTCAACCTCCTGACATCTAAGTCGACGCCCTGATCCCCGTGGCCACCCCTCCCCTAGGAAGTAGCCCTGGCCTCCCTACTACGCCTGCCTCCCCTCCCTCGGCCTCTGCTCCAGCCTCCACCAGGCAGCCCAGGGACCTTCCTCATTCACAAACAAGACCACTGCCCAGATGCCGTGCTGTCCTCCAGGGGTTGTCAAAACTCTTATAGGAGCCGGGCTCGGTGGCTCAGCCTGTAATCCCGCACTTTGGGCGGCCGAGGTGAGTGGATTGCCTGAGCCCGCGGGTTCGAGACCCGCCTGGCCAACTTGGCGAGACCTCATCTCTACAATAAATCAAAAAATCAGCCGGGCGTGGTAGCGTGCGCCTGGGGTTCCAGCTACTCGGAAGGCTGAGGCGGAAGGATCGCCGGAGCCCGGCAGGTCGAGGCTGCGGTGACCGGGAGTGGCCACTGCGCTCCAGTCTGGGCGACAGAGTGAGACTCCAACTCAAAAAAGCAAAAACAAAACCAAAAAAACTCTTATACAACCCCTGACACATTTGCTCGTTTTTCATTCAGCAAACAGCTACTGAGACTGTGTGCCGAATCAGGGGCTTGGGGGTGAGGCAGGCATGGGCCTGGGGATGAGGCGGGGAGGCTGCCCAGCCAGCAGAGCCTGGGGACGACCCCTCTCCTGGGATGTCTCCCAAGCATTCCACCCACAAGCCCGCCCAGCCTTCCCACTCTGTACGAGCCCCGGGCTCTCGACCAGAAATCTGGGCGTCCTTCTAGATACCTTCTGCTTCCAACTGGTTACCAGTGCTCCTCCCAGCTGTCCCCTTCTCCCACTGCCACCACTTCTAATGTCCAGGCCAGCACAGTCTCTTCCCTGAGTGACAGCAGCAGCCTGGTGTCATAGTCAGCCATTGCCATGGTGATGCTGTGTAACAAACCAGCTCAGGATCCAAAGGCAATGGCAGCAAGCCTGCGTCTCACAGCATGGGCTGCCGGTCGACAGGGGGTCGGCAGATTTAGCAGGACTGGTGGGTGACTCAGCGTCAGGCTGGGGGTGGGGTGGGCTGAGCTCCTAGCAGCGGTGTCCCTCATCCTCCTGGGAGCAGTGTCCTCTGGGGCACGTTCTTCCCATGGTGCATTGCAGGAGCACAGGAAGCCAGGCCGCACCACGTGAGCTGAATTAAGGGCCCTGTTCACGTTCCATGTGACTGAGCCCACATCGTGGAGCAAGGGCATAAGCTCCCAGCCTGGGGGAGAAGGGGTATTGGCTGAGCCCCAAACTCACACTCCCTGACTGGTCGGTTTGCACTCTTTCCCTTGGCGGCGGTTCATCTCCACACAGCAGCCAGTGATCACGTCACAACACAAATTAGATCAAATCGCTCCCTTGCTGAACACCGATGGCTCACTACAAGGCCCATGCAACACCCTTTCCACCTCACTCATGTTCCTTACAGTCATCTGTACTCACCTTCCATCCCCCCTCCTGCCTCTCTGCCCCTCTGTAGAAGAACAGTCAGTGTCACCGTTGGTAATCAAGCATTTGCTAAATCAGCCTGTTGGTGTCACAAGTGTCTCCCTTCCAGAGGGTAAACTATGAGAACCTGCGTGTCCTGTTCCATAGTCGAGCACTGAGACCTAGTGAGTATGGGGCACCCACGCCATGCTGGGTGAATGTTTGTTATTTGTACCAGTGAGTAAGCGGATGAAAGAGGGAACGTGAATGAGGAGAGAGAGGCCCAACCATCCCAGCAACCCGGCTGAGCCAAGCCTTCAGCCCTCCAGCCAGGT